TACCGGGCTGTGTGCATTGAAATCCCCCAGTAGTAGGCACCTTCCCTCAATAATCTGGTCCCAATTGGCATCTTCCATGGCACGTCTGCGCCTGGGGTTTTCCCCCTGCCAGCAGTGTTCAACGCCAAGCCAGTTATCATAGCAATTCACTACCCGGGTCCTCCGAATCCTTTCCCGGGCCCTACCTAGCTCCCAGACATCTAATGCCATTAGATATGGGTGATCTAGGAGGTCAGTACGGGCCTCTATGGCCAGCTTATTAAGTAGGTCCCTACGGACAGCAATAACCACCCGTGAGTCCCTGTGCTCCCCTTTCTCAGGCCAGTATAGTAGATATCCCCCATGCCGAAAATCCCTCTCGACATAGGGTTCCTGCAGGCAAGCTAGGCCCACCCCTAATATCAGCCGCGTAGCTACTGAACGGCAGGGCACAGAGACCGCCAATGTTGTAGATGGCGTTGAACAGGCCGAGTCGCGAGCCGGTCGGGTGATTATTATCTAGAGAAGAGCCAGATTAGCTTATGGTCTGTCCCTTTCATGGCTGGGCGGTTGGGTGCTAACATTCCTGCCACGGCTGTAACGTCTGCAGTCCATTAAGCAAACTCCTATCGTAGCCATTCACCGTCGCCCCTAGGAACAGGATGGGCATCATCAGGTAGAGTTTCCGCAGGCCCGGGTGTTTGTACCATGTTACTCGCGGGACGTCGAGTTGGAGTGGTTCCTCTGTTTTTGCCTGCTCGTCGTGCTCGCTGAAGGGTTTCTCGTCTGCCATGGTGATGGACAAGGACAATAGTCATCTGCAGAGGAATTAGTCAGTCAATCGAGGAAGTACCGTCATTCAGGATGACTGCCATTTTATAATAATCCTGAAAAGGAAATTCTAGGCCGTCTTCCCCATCATGTAGTTAGTCTGTACATGTGCATTGACAGGTCAGTCAGTAAATAGCCTAAAATCATTTTCGAAAAATCCCCGCATTTTCAATCTCATTATTATCTTTAGTTAGGAAGGGCTGAAGTACTCCGGAATAAACAGCGGTATCATGCGTGATGCTCTGGAAGAAGACAACCATAGACCGTCCGTCTTGGCGAAGCCCTAAAATCTTGAAATCGGAAAATGGAGGATTTCCCGGGGAGAAAAAGTCGACCACGGGACCGCCGATCAACCCTAACCGGTATGTAGAATCCGGGGTAATGCTCGGTCGAATCGAGTTTCGTTTCTCGGGGAGGGAAGTGCAGGCACGATGGATGAGGGGTATGTGGAGTATAAGCTGCCGTTTGTTGACGTGATGCACGATGGTATATCGAAGTGGGTGAGAAGGGGACTAGGTAAAAATTAAATGTACTGATTGTCAGTCAAAAAAATAGTAGAACGACGTACAAGACAATAATATGAGGTGGATTTCATTTTTCTTGATCGCTCAAGATGCGCAAACATGCCTGTTTTGATGACAAAGAGAGAAAACATTAGCGACAGGCCAAGTAAGAATAAGACGCTGTTCAGAATCGTGTCATCCACCCTTCTTCAAACCAGGTTGGGGGATCGTGTGGACTGAAACAGAGTTGGCTTTCAAATCAGGACCAAATGCAGTTGATCATGCTGAATTGGTTGTTTGTGTTGTTTGGATAGACAGGGTATATAACCTAAGACCTGCTGCTAGCAACGCGCGGATTTCCAAAAAAGGAAATAACAACAACACGCTTTGCGCCAGCGTGATATAAAAAAGCTCACACAAGGGGTCCTCCCTCCCGGGACCCGCAGGTGCTACGAAAACCCCCACCTTGCTTTTGGCGGGCAGGGGTTTTACTAGACCCGTTTTTTTTTTCTTTTTGTGTAAATTTGGGTCAGAGACCAGAGGGAGATTCGAACCCAGGCCGTTCATCTGGATGTTAGTAGGTATAAGAGACTTAGGCTACTTAACCACTGCACCATCGCAGCCCGGGTTCGTTACTGGGTCTCTTTGTTTATGAGTGATATGGGCCCTGGATGGTAGGTTTCTAGGTTGTTATTGGTTGGTTGACTGTCTTTGCTTGGGAGATATCCGGAATTTACCGTCAGGTTGCGGCGGCTTGTTTTTGCGATGACACTGTGTGGTGACTTCTCCTTAGCTACTCTTCGAGAGTGACTTGTTATGTCTAATGAACTTGCTTCTAAAGGATACGTACGTACGAGCGTCCACTATGGAGTATTCCCCGACGCCTTTCTATCCCCCTCCACATGCATCACCATCGACTCCTTCTCTCTCTCCTTCTCCTTAAACGCTCCCATATTGACCTGCACGTCACGCACCGCCTCATCCTGGATCTTGGTATGATACGTCGGGAAGTCCTTGACCGACACGCGATTCTCGAACAACTCGTCTAGCTCCTCCAGCGATCGGCCCTTCATCTCCGGGATACAGAGGTAGAAAAAGATGGCGCAGATGAAGTTGGATCCCGCCCAGATGTATCCGTATCGTGGGCCCTGGGTTTGTTATATCAGTGAATGATGATGGCGACACAGAGAGGAAGCAGGCAGACAGACTCACCCAGTTCAGGCTCGTCGGATTGATAAAGTACGGCGTGCAGAAACTCGTCAGCCACGCCAGAACATAGCCGATTGACGTGGCCGATCCCACCGTCCACGCACGCAGGCGAGAGCTCACCAGCTCAGTGGCGACAGGATAACTGGCGGCGCCAACACAGCCATTGTAGAAGAACTGGTAGATGGCAACAAACGCAACGATCGCCTTTCCGGCGATCCTCGTGTCCGCATGCACGCTGTCCGCGATTCCCATACCCAGGTAGCACAGGCCGCAGGCGATGGAGCCGAAGATCAGAATGAATCTGCGGCCCACGAGATGGCGGATCGCATACATCCCGCAATTGACGCCGATGAAGCCGAGACACGTGTTCATGATCGAGTATTGGAACGGCTTGTCGATGCCCGCGATTTCGAAGAAATACGTCGTGTAGGCGATGACGAACCAGGATCCCGAACCGGCTTGAGTGCCGATGACGCCGTAGCAGAGGAGGGTGCGGCGGAGGTCGGCTCCTAATCCGCCTTGAGTGATGTCTCTCCAAAAGAACAGGATGATGATGATAATAATGAATAAAACAAGCCTACTCACCCCGAAACATATCACGCACACTGACCGATTTGGCAACCTTCTTCTCTTCCTCCACTCCCCGAGCCATCTCCGCCCATTCCAGTTCGAGGAATTCCGGTTCCAAAGAGTCCGCGCGCAGGGTTTCAAGCGATCTGCGAGCCTCCTGCTCCCGATTGCGATGCAGCAGCCAGCGAGGAGATTCAGGAACAAAGAACAGCCCAATCGCCAAGAGAGTCGGGACAATGTACAGAGAGGCAATGGGGATGCGGTACGAATTCTTGTTCAGCAACCTCTGCGTGTAGTTATCGACGATCGTGCCCCAGATGGCGCCGATGTTGACCCAGTACGCGAACAGCGCGACCATGACGCCGCGGAGATGCGCGGGCGCGATCTCGCTTGTGTAGACGTTGGAGAAGGTGACAAGGAAGCCGTTGGAGAAGCCGAGCAGCAGACGGCCAAAGTACAGCACGCCCTTGTCCGTTGTCGCGATCTGGATCGCCAGCGCGACGAAGTTGAGGATACACGCTGCCCAGAGGGCGTGTCGTCGGCCGAGGAACGAGCCGAACACGCCGGCTACCAGAGACGAGATGAAGGCGCCCAGCGTCAGGAGGGAGGTGATGAGTTGTTGCACTGTGCTCTAGAGCTAGTTCAGTTGGTCAAGACGTCTAGACAGTCAGTCGACTGCGATCGTCGAGAAAACTCACATCGATCCCGTACCCCAGCGGACTGCTGGGATCCTCGTAGCCAAACACTTTCAGAAACCCCGGCATGGCCTGCAGAGCACCGACAGCAGCGCTGTCGAAGCCATACTGCATATTCGCCGTCGCGACGATACACGCGATAATCAAGCATTTCCGATTCGCCCACAGAGACGTCTCTGGGATTGTAACAGAAAAGGAGCCGGAGCCGGAGCCGGAGCCAGGGGAGGATGACATGGTGATGCAGCTGCAGTAAACTTTGAGAAAAGAAGTCCTAAACGCAGGACGATTATCAGGACAGACGAGTTATATCCTGTAATCATCCAGAGAGAAACTTCCCCAGATGGAAAGGGGAGGATTCCCCGGATTTCCCCACATCTCTTACTGCCTTGACAGCTGGGGATTCTGCGGAGACCCCACAAGTCCTGACAGCTGTACCCACCGGGTCATCATTTCAGAGATAATCTGACAGTCTGGCATGTGGGTCCCGAATGGAGATTCGTAGACCTGGCGGAATTCGTGCCAAAAGAAGCTTTCGAACAGGTAGACTGCTAGTATGTTCGTCTACGTAGCTGTGTGCGGGGAAGACGAGGTATGGGCTAAGCAAGCTTGAGTCACTCTGCTTGCTCTGTCAGTGACTGGCGGGGCCATGGCCAAGAGTACAGAGCATAACTCCAGGGAAATACGACAGGAGTCAAAGCGCGAGTTTTTGTTTGCCAGAGGCATGGACTCGAGTATATTATTACAGAGAATACTGCATGTGATGGTGCTGGTAATAATAACAACAATTGTCATAAATCAGATTTTTAACATGAAAACGAAATCAAATAATCAACTGGAGAGCATGCCGGTTCAATAAAATCTATCTGCGAAAACAAGGAACTATATATCCCAGCAGAAACACTACTTTATACCAGTGAGCTGGGGACTTTGACTAGGACTTTGGAGAGAAGTGTATCTGTAGTATGAAAAGCAAAAGCAAGATATATCTTGAATAGCAGCGCACTATCGTGGCTATATAGCCCAACAGAATAAACTAATATTCTCCCAATCAAACAGATGTCCCCGCAAAGTTTATCTCATTTAGTCGTCCCACTCTTCCCCATCGCCCCCGTGTTCTGGTTCTTGTTCCTGGTCCCAGAACTCTGGCTGCTCCCACTCTGACCCTTGCTCATCCTCCTCCCCGTCCTCCTCGTCAGAAAACAGTATCTCCGCATTCTTCATATCCGGCGACGTCTCCACAATGGATAGGAAAAAGTCTAGCTTCTGCTTGACTTCTTCCAATGCGTTGCAGATCCGCTGGCGGTTCATCAGCCCGAACGATTCCTCCATCAGCTGCTCGGCCTCCAGGCACAGGAACTGCCAGTCCAGATGCGCGTCCGGACCCACGTCGTCGAGCTCGAAGATTAACCCCTGTCGCAGCCGGCACCGCCAGTACGAATCTGGGATCTGCCACCCTGTCGCTTCCAGCGCGCGCCGGATGTCCCGATGGTGGAGACGGTCTAGCACCAGCGAGAGGATCTCACCTGGCAGGCTGAGGGCAAGCGTAGAGGTCTTCTTCGCCTTCTCCTGAGCCTTCGTCGTCGTGGTCGTGTTCAATGCCTTCATTCCTCTTATCAGAGCATCCATTTCAACCCTATCAGCATATACCTGCCCACTCCGCCGGATCAGATCAAAGGCCTCCTGCACGGCAAGCGGGTCCCGCACCGCGATGAGATTCCGAGTCATCTCGAACTCGGACACGTTGCTTTGCCATATGCGTTCCGTGAGCCAGTCGGTCATCAACCGGCTCTCCTTCAGCAGTTGCTCATCCTCCCACCGCTGCTGGAGGATCCAGACAAGCAATTCCAGGTCTTTCTCTGCATTCTCCCCGATGATCCGTTCCGCCAGGGCCCAGCAGTGCGCGTGGATGGGGAAGCCGTGTGGGTACTTGTCTTGGTACAGATCATCGTAAAATGTGGCTGGGTAGACGCAAATCATTCTGCTGGCTGAGGTATTTGGTTCTTTGTCAATTTTCTCCGTCATTAGCTGGGAAACGTTGACGATGGCCCCGTCTCGATCCCACGGAACGGCGAAGACAGGCTCGTTGCATTGCTCCTCATACATCAGCCGTGCTTCGGATTCGTGGTCCCACAGGTGATATCGGCCGATGCCCGACAGGTGGTACTGCGGTTGCTTGCGGGACTTCTTTTTTGAATTCTTGATTACTTTTCTCGGTATGGTTCGTCAGCGGCCTTTTTCACCGTCTACAGAGAGACTCTCGAAGAAGGCTAATGACAAGGCCACTCACTCACACGATAGAAACACGTCCAGCCCGGGTTAGGTAGCTCTCCAAAACGTCGGCGTGAGGACCCTTCTTCTTCTTCACCGTTACCGTCATCCTCATCATCGTCTTCCTCTGTATCCTGCGGTGGTTGGATCGGGTTGAATACCGTATCCGTGTCCTCATCCTCTTGCGTGATCCACATGCCGCATATACCGCAGTAAGTACCCCGCGTACTGGGTATGAACATCGGTCCGGGGATAGAAAAGTTGCCTTTTGGTGCTGTCCCTGCTACCTCCATTGTGAGCTGTAATTGTGACACTCGATTCTCTTAATACAGTTCTCAGTGAGTGCATCTGTTAGCTAGGGAGGTGTATATACATGAGCAAGCACATTGCTGTAAAGAAAAAAAATTTTTTTTTCTCCAGAATTATGAAAATGGTTCTGTAGTTGTGCCTGATGTCAGCATGATCCCTTGAAATTACTGCAGTCTTGTTGGAACTGTGTAGGGGGTACGGTCAGGCAGGCAGGCAGGCACCAACCGCCGGCAGGTCCTGTCGTCATGACACTGGCTAGGGCTCTGTACTTCATTGCCAGTCGGCGAGTTCTCGGCAATTGATCGTGTTGCGAATCAGTATTGGGTATCAAGGTAGGTTTAATCCTAGGTTAATTCTATTCAGTGTTCCATTTATATGCCAGGTATCAGATCACTCATCACATGATGGTTACAGCTTCACTTGTTCTTCCGCTGTCTGCAGTTTGCGTTCCGGACCTCTTCGACTGCCGTCATTGCACACCATCGGCCCTTTCGTATTTCTTTTGCGCTCCAGGCGCCTTTTCTTCAAAGCAATCGGCAATGTAATAACCAACAACTGGCAGAAACTTAAACCCACTAAAGTTGAGCTTTGTTCAGCTCGTGCATGAGGGTACTCGCTGCGGAGATACTTACTATCCAGCACCTCCTGCGGTAATGAATAGCCCGTCAATCGGCGGATAATAGTCCACGACAAAGTTCCCTTCTGGAGCGTCCGTGTACTAACACAGACGACGCCTCATCCATGGCTTTTCGGCGAACTGGGGCTGCCGAATTCCGTAAATGGCCGGCCCTGATCTCGAAGGACGCGCTTCAACTTCACCAGGAATGGATCCGCCGCAGCTTCGGAGATCAAGACAAAGCCTGAGTTATTGTAGAGGGCCAGAACGGACCGGATCCCCAGCCATGGACGGCTTCCCTCGCCAGTTCGTTGTAGAAGGGATCTAAATAGTCGTAGCGAATGATGCGGGAGATGTCGACACTGCTGCCATCTGGAACAGGCGGCGTCACCCGGTGCAGAACAGTGATGTTCTAGTAGCCTCGCAGGCGCAGCTCCGGGGCGGCCGTAGGCCAAAAACGCCAGAACCGACGACTATGGTGTCTTCGTACGACTGAGGTTTTCTGCCTGTCTTGGACATTTCGAGCCTAAGAAGTCAGTATTAACGTATCAGACAGTGCTCAACCAGGTCGGATCCGGGGCATCCAGACTGCGGTGACCCTCAGGTCAGATAAGTAGCTTATCATCGACACAAGCAAGTCTTTAACTGCAGCCTAGTCCATCAGATAGACGGTTCACTTGGTGTCAACTCACAGCCGATATGCCGGGAAGCAGCAACACCGGTCACATGACCGGAATGTTGACCGTGTCGACGCCGTCTTTTCTCTGCGGTCCAACCACAGGGAATAATCCTTTATGAGCGTAAAAGAAGGCCCTGTTGGTCTGTTTTTTTTTATGGCCATCGCTCCCTGATTGCCTGGATCGAATATGATGTCGTTTGACATGCATGCCTCCCCACTGACAGCACCCCTTGCAGATCGCCCCAGGACTCCACAGATTGCCCTGTCCTATTGGTGCCCGCGTTATCTTGCTCCACTGCATCTTAGATAGGATGAAGATGATGAATGAGAGATATCCAAGACATCGATGCCACCAGTTTGCCAAACCAAGCGATGCTGACCAGGCTGGGCTAAGCCGAAAGGGGACACTGGAAGCGCCTTTGTCCGCCGTTGCTGTATCCTCCCACGTGCGCGCTGCCTTTCCGGATTCGGCTAAATGGACTCCGTCCATGTTATACTTTGTCCTACCAGTGGGGATCCACCCCTCGCTCTGCGTGTCCTTTTCTCTTTTTCCCCCTGTTTTTTTTTTTGTGTGTGTGTGTGATATTCTGCTGTGGCAGAATCAGAGATCATGGCAGGCACAATGGAGGAAAAGAAGCCCGATGTCGTCCCGGTTACTGCGGCGAAGGCGCCTGCGGTGAAGGATGAGGAGGCGTTGAGCCAAGTCCACGAGGGAGATCTTATCTCCCTGGATCAGGTTGACAGCGCGCTCGCACTGAAGATGCGTCTCGTTAATGATGTACGTATGCGTCGTGGCTTATGCGCTGCCAGACATGCGTCTACTGACAGATCTAGGCGATCGACAAGCTAGGCTTTACGACCTATCACGTGAAATTGTTCTTCCTGAACGGCTTCGGGTTCGTGCCATGGACCTTACGTGTCGAGGATGCTGGCTGATAGGACTAGATATGCGGTCGATTCGCTTTTGCTTTTTCTCATGAGCATCGCTGCCAACCAAGTCGTTCTCGAGTACAACCCTCCCTTCACCAGAGGCGCACAGCTTGCATTCTACATCTCGCTCTTGGTTGGTGCCCTGTTCTGGGGCGCCACCGCAGATATCGTAGGGAGAAAGTGGGCGTTTAACCTGTCCCTGTTCGTCAGTTCTGTCTTCGCCATAGCGGCCGGGGGAGCGCCGAATTACGTGGCTTGGGCGAGTTTGGTTGCTGTGTCTGCGTTTGGCTCAGGAGGCAATCTGGTTCTTGACACCACAGTCTTCCTCGAGTACCTGCCTTCTCACAAACA